CTAGACTTGGGCCCCAAGTATACTGATAAGTTGGGGTCAGGTTTCCAGGAGTAGTGCAAGACATATGGTGAAAATTATTGTTTGGGGCAGTTGATTTATTGGCATAACCAAGCTAATGCTGATCCAGATTGCAGCCTAGGGAGGGCGAGAAGGGGTTGTTTGTTGTTGCTTGATATTGCCTCCTATGCCAAGGTTCAGAAGCCATCGCATCGTTAACGTGTCTATGGCCCAAGAACCCTCAGATTTGTGCTTGCAAGAATTCTTGATGGAAATCATGCAAAAGATCCTGATGGAAAGATCCCTCATAAATTCCATATATATGACCTTGCATTTGTGGTATGCGGATATTGATAAAATAACACTTATCCGTTGAGCTACAAACCTGGGTCCCTATTCTTGAGTCTTTTGTTTTTTGGGGCAAAGCTGAAAACTTTGTTCACATTAAGAAAGGTCAAATAGATCTACCACTGGGAATACCTATAATGTCAGGCAATATCTGCAGTGCTTTGGGAGGGCTCATCCGGGAAGCCCAAAGTAAACAAAAAAGATTCATTTACATCAATGAAAAGCTTATATAAAAGATTGTTAGCCTTATTGGATTCCCTTGATATGTATTCAATTATTAATATATAGTTCAAAACATTATTTTCTCTTCTAGATTCTGGTCTTTGAGTTTGAGCCAGCCAGATTTCTTGGAGACTCGATGCTTTTACCATTTATTCTAAAGGCTAGTAGATAAATAATCGACTCTTAATTTTTGTACAGGAACTTACGTTCTTATAATTACTTCTCGTAAGGAAGTTGGCAGCTATCTTGGTTTTCCCATTTTCCGGGTGATGTCTGAGTTTCTATCGTGCAATGATGCTTTGCAGCTTTCAACTGCTCAAGAAGTAGGGGTTTCTTTTGCCAATTTCCCTGGAACTAGAATCTACAAGTTTTCCTTGTAAAGATTGAATTGCATTTGTTTGGGTTTCATATGCAGAGAATGTGCATATATGATTTTGAAATTCCAGAAGGCTGCTGCAAGGGGACCATTGAAAGTAACATATGAAAAATACTTGCATCCTGATCAAAGTAGTGTTGCAGCAATAGAAGCAATTGACAGGCTTCCTCCGTGACATCAAGTCCTATAGGAGCTCAGATTATGACACAATGCGGTACAATGAGGACATGAAATTCAGGAAGATGGCATTGGGCAGGCAGGAGTACATTAGACTTTCTTTCCCTCATAAGAATATATGGATCTTGAGTTTATAAGAAGAGAGAAAATGCGAAGAAAAGATTCACTTGCAGATCAAATCCGGGCTGCCAAAAGCAAAAGAGTGGAATGTGTAGCAGTCACACACTCTTTGGTTCAGACCCTACTGAATTTTTGTACAAACCAAGAAATTATCAAATTGAAAATAAGATCTATTTGTGATTCAAATTGTTTGAATGGAGAATGACTTTTTAAATTTTATTGTAATTGATGCTTTTTCATCTTTTGTATTTTATTTCAGTTTAAATGAATATATAGAGAAAACAGGTAATTTGAAGAAAATTAAATATAAATAGGTCATTTGGAAAAAAAAGTATACTTTGACCGCCGCTAAAGAAGCCCGTGGCTGCTGCTAAAAACAACCTTTAGCGGCAGTCGCAACTGCCGCTAAAAGTAGTTTTTAGTGGCAGCTTAATATTTATACCGGCAGCCGCGAAAACTGCCGCTAGAATGTCTAGCGATAGTTCTTTTAGCGGCAGTTCGCCAGCTGCCGGTAAAGACTATAGCAGCAGTTTTGACTGCCGCTAAAAGTCATTTTTTTTGGTAGTGACATGAAAAATATGGCCCACAAGGAAGAGATTTTGAGTAAAACGACAATCCACTTCAATGTGCTTTGTGCACTCATGGAAAATAGGATTGAAGACAATCTTGATAGTACTGAGATTATCAACAAAGAGGGGAACTAGGGACATGGCCCTATACTTAGTTTCAATAAAGGATTTTGAAATTGTAGGCTACATTTTTACATTCTAGGAGACAATAGAGTCACCAAGAAAAAAATGCACCAACCAGTAGTAGATCTTCGAGTATTTAGGCAATCAGCCCAATTGACATCAACATAGGCAGTGAGATTAAGAGACAATGATGAGAAGAATGGTCCATGAGATAAGGTCCCTCTAACATATCTGATGATACTGTAAGTTGCTGATAAATGTGGTTGATGAGGAGAAGACACGAACTAACTTACAACACTGATATATTTGGCCAAGACATAATGGGGTAAATTAAACTACCTACCACTTGACAATAGAGAGAAGAATCTTCTAGAAAAGGATCACTATCCTTCCTAAGTTTCAATTTTCAAATTGATTTCCAAAGGAGTGTCAACCAATTTGGAATCAGTGAGGTTAGCCAATTTAACAAGATCTACTGCATACTTGTGTTGGGTACAAAGTAACAATAAGAGTTATGATTTACTTCCAGGCCAAGAAATAAGTTAAGGGACCAAGTCCATCTTGAAAGACTCAAATAAGAGATTTTTTTAGTTAACAATCCCTTCCTAATCATCACATATAGTAGAAGTATAATGTCATCAACATATAGTAGAAGTATAATCATTCCTTGATTCTCCGGTGTAGGACAGAAAGGAAGTAATCAAAGGAATTCTATATGAAGGCAACATCATTAATAACAGAATGAAATCTCTCAAACTAGGCATGAAGGGCTTGTTTAAGGCCATATAAGGATCTCTTGAGACGACAAACAAGTTGGGGATTATTGCAGTACTCATACAACTTCCTTTAACTCCCCATGAAGAGAGGCATTATTCACGTACATTTGATGGATCTCCCACTATTTGACTCTAGAAAATAGCTAGGAGTAACTGAACAGTAGTCACCTTTTCCACCGGAGCAAATGTCTCATCACAATACATTTTGTACTCCTACATATAACCTTGGGCAACAAGACGGGGCCTTATACCTATCAAGACTCCCATATGACTTTAATTTCACAGAATAAACCAACCGGCTACCAATAATAGAGGCATCAAGAGGAGCTTTGACAAATTCCTATGTGTCATTTTTCAAGAAGACCCTGAATTTCAGAATTTGTGGCATCTCTTTAATGAGAAATGGTTGCAATCTGCTAGTAAGACTTTGGAATATTTATACTGGACAACATAGCAGAGAGGAAACTATGATTTAAAGGAAAACCCATAGCCGTTAGGAGGTTGAGAGATTCTAGAGGAATGACGTAGTGTAGAAGCATTAGATGAAATGGGCTTAGAGGAACAAAAGAACTTACAAGGATTGATGAAGTAGGATGACCAACATTTGGGGATGAAGAAAGAAGGGGCATAGGTGCTGCAATATTTGGTCGCTTACAAAAGTAATCCTGAAGTGACAGAAAGTGAGATGGAGAAGCTTTAGAAGAACCTGTAGAGTCAAAATTGTGATATAAGAGATAGAATGAGCAGGTAACTTAACAATATTTTCAAAGAAAGACACATTATCAGGAAAGATGACATTATGAGATATATGAATGCGGCGATCTTTAGGGTCATAGTAAAGGAAGTCCTTGACATTATGAGATATATGAATGCGGCGATCTTTAGGGTCATAGTAAAGGAAGTCCTTATGATTAGGACTATACCCCACAAAAGCACAAAAAGTAACTCGAACAATTAACTTAATGCATTCTTGTAGGGGAAGATGAACAAAACATGCACAACCAAATACCTGAAGCATAGAAAAGTCTAAAGGGCGATTAAAAAGAGACTGAAAAGGAGAAGAGTTATTCAGGACCCACCTATTATTTTCTCTTAAAAGAGAAAATTTCAAGTAGGATCCATTGATTATTTTTTCTCTTAAAAGGGGAAATTTCAATTGGAACCCACTTATATATATTATTTTCAATATTTATTAGTTTATCTATTAAATAGTTTTTTTATTTTATTCAGTGGGATTCTATTGTAATTTTTCAGCCTTTTGAGTTGAATTGTGCCATATCAGCATTTCTTTTTGGGCTAACAATGGCCTTTTCAGCTTAGTTTGAGGTCTAAAATGGCTCCTAAAATTATAAAATGGCGAAAGTGTATTTTTTTGCAAATTTAGGGATTGTCAAAGCCAAAACTCCGATCTAATAGTATTTCTAGAAACTTTTTTAAATTGGGGATTTACAGAATGTTGTAAAAATCTTTCAAGCTTAGTGTCTTAGCTAATAAAAATAATTATTCAGTATGTACAATATATTTTGCTAATTATTTTCTTTTTTTTTGAGAATATCTAGAACTACCAAAAAACCCACACCTAATTTGCGTTTGTGATGCTTGTTTACCATCTTCTTCATTTTTCTCATGAGTGACCGACCATATGTCTGCCCAAGTGACTAGTACCACCCTTGCTATTATAACTAAAATCACTCTTACATTTACGACAAACAACTCTTTTTTCCCTTCCCCTCAACCTTTTCTATGCTAAATAATTTCCAGACCGAGCTAGTCAACTTACTGCCAATTTTCTTTTCCATAGTAGCAGTACTAGGGGATGAGAACTCCAGCAACATCAACCATAGCATCCATATCAGTGTTGACACTATTGTATTGTGATTGAACATCGTCAAAGTTGAACATGTCGAGAAATTGGTTGTAAGAGGAGCTAGACATTTTTTTTAAAGTTATAGTATTAAAATTCTGAAAAATAAAAATAATTTAATTACAACTTACCCGGTCTGCCGATTCGGAATCTCAACTTGATTCAACTGTTGAAGCCTCCAACCCTCCTAAATTGCTAATTTGAGATACTTGAGCAAGCCTTCTTCTTTTTGAAACTTGAATAAAGTTGAGAATTAATTAGAGGGTAAAAAGAGTATGAGAGTGTGCACAAGAGAGTATATGAGAGTATGAGAATTAGTATGATAAGAATGATAGAGGGTAAGGGTATTTATAGGAGATGGAATTAATTTAATTTCCCAAACTACCCTAAAAATTAGTCGTTTTTTAGTTGTTGGGAGGGGTATTTTGGTCATTATAAAGATAATTATCACTTTACCCAAATTCCTCCAAACTAATTGTTATATAGCAATTGGGGGCCATTATTGTCATTTTCTCTCCCCCAAAGCCAAAATACATAAATACCCCCTAACTAGTTGTTTATAGCTATTGGGGGGTTTATGTAAAAAACCCCCCAAAAACAAAAAATAGCCATTGGGGGGTCCCCAACGGCTATATTATGTGGGTGGGCTACACTAACCCACTATATGCCAAGCCGTGTTGTTCTGTCTCATGGGCCTAAAAACCCAAGCTCAGAATGGCCCACACCTCTGTATTGTGCCCAACATGGCCTACATGCTATAGTGACGAGCCAATTTATGACTCTATCTATGCCATAAGCAAGGTTCAAAATATCGATACGCCCGATACGTCGGTATGGGCGTATCGGGCGAATTGATACTCATTTTGGTAGTTTTTTTTTTAATTTTTTTTGCCAACTAGTTCAGGGGAGCCGGTTTAGGTCTTTGCCACACCCTGAACCGGCCAGACCACCGATACACCCACTGTAGGGGCGTATCAGTGGGGTGCTGGAACGATATGTATTTGCCGATACGGGTCAATTACATGTCGATACTTTGAACCTCCCATAAGTACCATACATTATTACAACTAGTAGTCTCAAAATAGGAAATAATAGAAAATAAGTAAGAATCAAATGTGGAGGAAGCCTTCTTTTTCTTGAATTCTAGTGCAAATAGTCGACCCAGTCTAAGCTCCTTTCCCTTCACCTCCCTAGTTTGTTGGTCTTGTATAAAACAACCATTAGAGGAAAATAAAACAATGTTACCTTTTTCATCAAGTTGTCCAATAAATATCAAATTGGTTGTAAGTTTAGGCACAAACAAAATCTTGGGTAGGTGAAAGTGAGAGGACTTAGAGGCAGACAAAAATAAATCATCACATCCATGAATATCTAAATTTTCACCATTAGCATTAACAATCTATCTATTAGAGGTATAAAGCTTAGGAGATTGAGCAAAGGAAGCCCCAATCATATGACTCGAGGCACTTGAATCAATAATCCAAAGGCGGTTTGACGAGGGACAAAAGGAAGGAGACTTAACAAGTCAAGCCGATGGATAGGAAAGCATAAGAAATAGCTAAGGGCATAAGTTGATGGATTTTTTCCTTTGACATAACACTTGAGACAATCTCCCTTGGACATCGAGAAGGTCGTAGTGGAGGAGGCATTTGAACCCTCTAAAGAAGTTTGATAAGCCTTATAATAACCCTTCTTCTGGTTGGACACAACTCCCTTTGGAGGTCGAGTAGGACACTCTATAATGTTATGTCCTTGCTGCTTGTTGTAAGTGCAAGTGTTCTTACAGTGTGAAACGACTTTTCCAAATTCTTTACATTCATAGCATTGTACCTGAGAAAAGTCTTAGCTCTCTTTCCCTTAGGTTTTGTTGCAAGAAAGGCAACATCTATGTTG